ATGAGAAGTTAGCTTCCTTCTCATCTCACCCACAGTAGGCAAGTGTACCTTACCTACTGCTTTATCTATTCATCTCCTTACCCACAGTAGGTTGTGCCCTGGATAGGGCTGGTTACACCACAGGCTGTGGACCATTGGGGAGGGTCATGGGGACCCGGGAGTCGTCCCCTGACAGTGCAGGAATGCGAAAGCGGTCGCCGAAATGAAAAACAAAATGGAAAAATCAGTTGTTTATTCTGGATATTTAACCTGCAAACTGTAGGCTGCTCGTGAGAGTGCCAAGGGCAGGGGTTGAGATAAATACACAAAAATAAGGTGAGAAAATAAAGAAATAAGTCCGATTCAGGTGTCCTTAATCTCTCTGATAAGGCGTTGCCCAAATGCTGCTCCACTTTTGAGTTGTCGTGTTGGGTTGACCGTTTTTAGGTGTCAGTTTCAAAAATGGGATGGGTTCCGCCTTCTGTTGGAATATGGGATGGAGTAACCTCCCACCATCAGGCCATCAGCAAAAAATTGTTATGCTCCTGAGTGCTCCAGAGTATCGAGAGCACTGGGAGAATCAGGAGGAGATTGGCCGGTCCAGGAACAGCCCATTTCCTCCGGAGTTGGCTAGGTACTCCAGGGCACTCCCAGGAGGGCCTGGAGCATTGCTTTGTGCACAAACATATCCAGTAAATACAATTTAAATGCTTCAAAGTGTATAGGGGTGAGAAGTTTCTGGGAGCTCCTGGAGCATTTGAAAATGAAAAGGAAAAAAAGAGGGAAGATCCCCCATGAATACCTCCTACCACATGACTAACACAACAAGACACTGCTTAACATTTAGATCAAACACTATACTATATATCAAGGACACTGAGACTCACCAATACACAATCAAAATTTATGGCCTGATATATGATTAATCTGGCAACTTAATCACTTTCAGGCTGGCAGAATATGGGGGAGGGGGAAATGGGGGAGAATGAGGGGGGGAAATGAGGGGGAAATGAGGGGGAGAATGAGGGGAGAATGAGGGGGGGAATGAGGGGGGAATGAGGGGGGGGGATATAGAGGGAAATGAGGAAAATTTGAAAAATAGGGACTTCTAAAAAGTTGAAAAAAATAATCAGGGAAAAAATCAAAAAAATTCAGGAACTGTAGTGCCTTTGAAGTGCTTTCAGGATATATAATTATTTGCAAAATTGAGGAAGAAATGATGGAGAAAAATGGAAAATACTTTCGGAGACCCAAGAAATAATGAGAACTGAATTGATGGGAAAGTCTGAAAATTGAATAGGGAAGTGAGGGGAAGCCTTGTAGCATTGTTATTTTCTGCTGTTCTAATTTTTCCTGATTGTTCTTGGTCTCACTCCCAGCTGCTACTGGATACTCCTGGATACTCCTGGAAGCTCCTGGGAGGGTCCAGGAGCAGCTAATGGAAAATACTTTTGGAGACCCAAGAACTGAATTGATGGGAAAGTCTGAAAATTGAATAGGAAAGTGAGGGGAAGCCTTGTAGCATTGTTATTTTCTGCTGTTCTGATTTTTCCTGATTCTTCTTGGTCTCATTCCCAGCTGCTCCTCAATACTCCTGGAAGCTCCTGAAAGCTCCTGGGAGGGTCCAGGAGCAGCTGGGAGTGAGACCAAGAACAATCAGGAAAAATCAGAACAGCAGAAAATAACAATGCTTACAAGGCTTCCCCTCACTTTCCTATTCAATTTTCAGACTTTCCCATCAATTCAGTTCTCATTATTTCTCGGGTCTCCGAAAGTATTTTCCATTTTTCTCCATCATTTCTTCCTCAATTTTGCAAATAATTATATGTCCTGAAAGCACTTTAAAGGCACTATAGTTCCTGAATTTTTTTTTCAACTTTTTAGAGACCAAAAATTTTCCTCCCACTGCTCCTGGCACATTACATACTCCTCACCACTCCCAGCTGCTCCTGAACCCCCTCCCAGGAGAACACTATTGGCTCCAGGAGTGCCCAATCTGCTGTTTTGTCTCCCACATGCTCCAGCCACTCTTGATGCTCTGGAGCATAACAGACTTTTGCTGATGAGGGATGGAGTGACCTCCCTGGCATAACGGGCGAGTAGTGTATGGATGCATGCTAGAGGTCCTGGGTTCGATACCAGGCCTGTCCATTTTATGTCATTTGTCCAGTCACCTGGTTTACCTCAGTTGAATTCATGACATAAGTCTATAGCGCTAGCAGTGTTGAATTTCTTCACCTTCCAGCGGTGTCATATCTTGGGGTGTGTCTATTCTGTCCTTCTCTCTTTCTCGTATGCTCCACTCGCTGACAGAAATCCTGCTACCCTCTCTATTCCTTTCTCGTCCACCAGGCAGTCAGCAAGGATCAGTTTACCTTCATTGTCTGGGAGCAAGTTTCGGTGGTGTTCGTGCTTGGGACATTCGAGAAGTATGTGTTCTCGCGTTTCTACGGGTTCTCCGCATGTGCAACTGGGGTTCTCTTCTGGTAGGAAGCGTTTGTAGAATTGTCCGATGAATGCATGGCCGGTGCGAAGCTGTACTAGGCAGCTGAAGGATTTGCGGGAGTGGGACTTAAACCGCTTTGTTGGTCGCAGTTGCGGTTCTATGCGGTTACAGCTTCGGTATTCTGATGGCTTTTGTTGTATAGGGTCAGTGTTCCAGCGAGAGATCCATTCGTCCTTATATTGGCGTTTGTTTAGGTTTCTCATGAATGCCGCTGAGGTTCTGTACGGGTATTCGGACGGCAGGTTGGAGCCTTCTTTGGCTAGGGTGTCTGCCCGTTCGTTCCCTTTGATATCTTCGTGTCCTGGGACCCACTTTATAATTACGTCGCAGAGGGGGCGTTCTGAAAGAAGGAGGGAGATGTTGTTGCGGAATCGGAGTGATTGTTGGATGTCCAGTCCTGGGGACGTGGCCATTATGCGCTGGAGATGATGATAAATCTATCTTAATACCCCGCGGCCTCGTGATGTCGTGGCAGTGCGGCTGTCCCGTCGATACACCGTAGCGTACATAAAGGGGACTTTCTATACATGATGTGTGGGTAGTCTGGTTGGTATCGTCTGGTGTCAGTGATCCTCGGGTTATGTGGTGTCGGTGGGTATTGTCGAGGTGTTGATAAAAGAAATAGAAAATAAGGAAATAATTTATTGTGTTCGTCTCGCCCGTCTCTTCCTCTCCTCCGCCGTTGCTTCGTTCTGTGCTTTCGTGGTCTCTCGTCTACCCGGCTGTCCGGGTTCCTGGGGTCGTGTTCCTCTTCGCGTGGCGGCCGTTGGTCTGGTGTTTGTCACCTGTTTTGGACTTTTTGATGAAGGACGCAAGTCTTTCAATGCCTTTCACTTTTCCTACGAGGGTGTGGAACCTGGTCTGGTTGCCGCGTCCAAGTAGGTGTCTGTGTCTGTACACTCGGGGGCATTCCGCTAAAATGTGGGTCCTCGTCTGTGTGGGTTTGCCGCATTGGCACCCTTTGCTCTCCGTTGTTATGCCGAATCGGTGGTAGTATTCGCCGATGTGGGCGTGTCCTGTGCGGAATTGTAGGACTCGGCTGAATGTCTTTCTGTCGAGGTTGCTGAAACGTTTGGTGGGTTTTAGCTTTGGTGCGAGTTGGTTTGCTTCGTAGAAGCCCGATCTCGGGGAATTCGGGGTGTTTACCCAGCGGTGTGTCCAGGCTTCAGCCATCTCTCTCTATTATGCGCTGGAGTGCTCCAGTGTTATCGGAGAAGATTGAGAGGGTGAGTTTGTCTCCTTTTTGGTAGTGCTCGTCGAGCCAGATCTTGAGGTTAGCTGATCCTTGCGCTAGTCCCTCCATTTCCGCATCATACACCTCTGCTCTAGGTCCTGTTCCCCCCTTCCCACGGAAAAATCGGTTCAAGTAAAATTTCTGCCTCGCACGCTAGCTGCCGGGTGTCCTGAATTGAATCAAAGCTCAACAAATCAAGTGTTCACCCGAATTGCACACGTTCATTCTCGCATGGTGAACACGACAAGGAGAGCACTCACTCGTACAGAGCGGTACGGGTGGTTCGGTTAGGGAATAGACAAGATTGTTCCTACGTGAACCGGTCACGGGAGTTCGGGCAGTGTCGGGGTATATCCGTCTCCTACCGGTAGAAGCGCCTGGCCAGGATAATGCTCTGGAACCATTGGCCTCACACACGGGAGTGGGGGGTACCGTTTCGGTGAGATCACGGAATTGGGGATGCACCTCAACAAGCTTTCGCTTCCTCCGGGATGTCACCCCCGAGGTGAGGAGACGAAACAACAGCTACAGCAATCCATATGGCTGTCGTTAGCAGGAAAACCAACATGCTGTAGTCCTCCAACGCTCGAGATGAAGGCAAATGGAAGTAAGCGAGTGTGGAAGGAACTTCCATTTAGAGTACTGGGTCGCCAAATTCATCTCTCTCTCACCTGGTTTCCAGGTCCCATTCCTCTCGCAGCACAGGACTTTGCCTTGTCCATCCTTTCAGATGATCGGAAATTGAGTCGGTGTCTCTATGCGAAATCGCCATACTCCAGCTGATGGTTGGGACGACATCCTGGTTCTAGAGACTTTCTCAGACCTGGTGGCGGTAAGTAATCTCGTGTCTCAGAATAGAAGGATTACCTTGCGAGGTGTGCACGATGTTTATGCTCGTAATCGGGGAATATGCGTCAGCGTTCAGAGTCGGAACATGATTTGAGTCGCTCTTGCTGAACTGACTAGCACCCCTATGCTAATAGCGGGCACCACGACGATTCATTCGCTGCGCATGATCCAGGGCTCCGCGGGCCTTTCGATTTTTAGGACAAGCCGGGTGGGTTCGATGTCCATCAGTCTGTTATGTGACCTGAAGGTCAATGTCTCCGTTGTTCAACGGAATGGAGGGGCAGAGTGTCTCTCCATTCCGGTGAAAACAAAGACTAGACCTTCATCAACCACCATATTGGCCTGATGTCTATTGAAAAATTTCAGGCGGTCAGAAATCGCCGCATCATTCCTTGAGAGCATCAGTGGCGTTTACATTCGCAGACTACGGTGTCAGGCAGCCTTCACCCCAATGTTCGATCGCGTGGCAGTAACGGGTCGAAGGGGTGGCTTCGTTCGACTAGGTGGTGCAGCCCATCGGTAGACGGGTCCAAGTCTAATATTCGACACGTGAAGACGCATGTACGAAAGGGGGGTGTTCTCTGCAGCAAATGTGTCCCTAAAACTGTCAACTTCATGTGGCAGACGCAGGGAAAAGGTTAATGATGAGACTTACGTCGGCGTTCCACCACCCATCCTGTAATGAATAGAAGCTGTTCGTGGACGCTAACATTAAGCGTATAACGGGGGGTAACTCTATCAGTTATGGATTCAACGTATATAAGCCGAGAAACCATCTCGCCACCTAGGGGACTGGAAGCGCTTGTCACAAGATTTCAAAGCTCTCCCCAAGCTAGACGTATACTTCTGCAATTGCTTAGTGCGGCTTGCCATTGGCGTGTTTTGTCTGTGCTTTGTGACGTCTGGTGCAGTTGCACCTTGTGCTTGTGCTTGCCGGAGTGTGGGTCCAATTTCCATCCATTCATCGCAGGGCAGCCGGTGGGAACGAATCTTCCACATTGATCAACACCAGCTAATACTAAGGTAATCTTTGTTACAGACCTCCGTTTTTTGCGTGGCATTCCTGATGAGATGGGCTTGGTTTCCTAATTTTTCCGCGACGTTCAAACCCCAGATCGTGAGCTCATCTGGCCCGTCCTCTCCCAATCGCTCAGCTTCGTATGAGCATTTCTACACGCTCAAGCTGAAGGGTCCATGTCACATTTGTGGAAGCGTCGACGTTGACTGGAATTTCCTTTGCCACGAAGTGGCGTCGGCGACACCGTGCATCGTTACACTCTTCAGCGAAGGTCCTGGTGTATTCAGGCGTGCGGCAAACTTTGTACCCCAGTGCAGCAACGGTTTTGGGGCATGGCCTTGTCAGGGGTGCGCAAATTCTTCTATATAGAGTGAATTCGGATAATAATCTATGAATAACCAATCTGGCTAATATGCTGATGCATTGCCTTGATGACTGGATCCTTCCTAGCCATCTTCCTAGCCAAAGAGTGAATATGTCTTCCCAACGGGCCTTCTCTCCCCCTCCTGGCATCGTCTTGTATCGTCCCCTAATCTCCTGCTCACGGATATTGTAGCGGGACGTTTTGGGAGCCGTTTCGCGGTTGAACAATGCTAAACGGTACACTGGCTGACGAGAAATTTCGAAATTTGTGAAATATTAACTACGTATTCCGGGATCATATCGCTGGTTGGAATTTCGACGAAGCAAGTGGCTTGATTTGGAAGGTTTTATTCATTCTTGCAGCAGTCCGGAGCGTGATCATCACAAGGAGAGGATTGAATAGATCTGAGAGGCATAAAAGCGTGGTCTGAGCATTAGTTCCCCCCACCAGTTCCTTCTTCTCCCCCCTCGCTTTCGGGCCCCCCAGTCGCTACTCGCCTTTGCCGTCCCCGGACTGTCCCCCGAAGCCCGGTCCGCAGTCACCCCGAACCTCTCCCGCCCCATGGATCAAGGCCCTCGATGTCCCACTTGTTGTCCACGTTAACCGATCTTTTACCCCTTCACTTGACACCCTTAGCGCGTCACTCATGCTGCCATTCGAACCATCCGCCATCCTTAAAGTACAGGTCCCCTGCCGATTACGCAACAACTCTGATGTTTCGGATAATCTCTAGGCTGCCGATCTTCGCTCACTACACTTTGGCACCTTGGCCTTCTCATCGACCTGTGACCCACGCGCCTTGTGGATTGAAGCGAACAACAACCAACTGAGTCGAGCGCAAGGACGCATGGAACCCTTTCAATCCGATGGATGCGCAATCGCAGAGCACGGCTCGCTCTCGCTCCAAGTTCTGACACATCTGCTAGTTCGTTTTTCCCTGCGCCCTTGCTCCCGGAACTCTAGTCGTCGCGTGACTTCACCATCCTTGGACCACCAATGCCTCGTTGGTAGCCACTCCAAACCTTTTGCGACGTCAACCCTACCGGATCCTGAAGCTGTGGGTTATATCTAGGCTGTCGATTTTCCACTTATTAGAGATGCCCCCTTCGTCTATCCAATCGACCTATGATCACAGCTCTCAACATGGCCGTGTCTGCTTTGGCGAACTGCTCAGGGATCAGTCTTACTGATTATCGGGTCTACACATCCTGCTTTCCCCCTATGACTGTTCGGGCTGCCCATGGACTTCGACGACCCGTTGTATACCTTATGGATTTGACGCGCCTTGCAGGTTCCATCGACAGAGGGGAGTGGGCAACAAAGCGGAGGAAAATTGAGTACGGGAACCCATGCACACCCTTTCTATCCACAATGGACGCACAGTGGGGAAGAACGACCCGCCTTCCTTTCTGCTCCAACATGTTTCTATCACCTCGTCTCGACGTATGCTCTCGCCCCGGGTCGTTTCCCTCGAAGCTCTCAGCCTTTTGGTCAATCCACTTCGGAGTACCCCGTCGCCAGGCTTCTTTCTCTGTATTTCGTCTTGGATCTTTCCCTTCTTGTGTAGCTCATCGATCAGCGTTATACTCTATTCCTGGGCCATACTTCCAACAAAAGTGGCGAACACATCACTTCCGTCATACGGATAGTACGTATCATGATTTAATTTTCGCTAGCAAGCAATATTCGTTCACGCAGCAGTATGTCCCATTTATTTCGAGAGAGTGGGAGAGTGGGAGAGGGACACTTTGGCGGGACGCCCTCGTGGCGTCGGTATGGACGTGTTCCCACAGGCGCTTGCGCCTGTTGTCCATGCCCCTTTCCTGTCAGGGTGGAACTTTGCTGCCAGCCAGTTGGCCCGCACGGTGTCCACCCAACAGGTTTGGCCGTAAGTATTATTTCCCCTCTCACATTGAGACCCATGCTGACATCCTTACATGTCCAGGAACATCTTATGTCGCCCCCATTGTTGGGCAAGGAGCAAATTTAATGGTAAGCCGATCGGGTCCACTCGTGTATTTTTCGCCCCTAACATTGAATTATGCCACTGGCGGGAGCTTCCCTCGATTTTATAGCCCAGCTCTCCCATATGGTGCGCTAGAGATATGTTGACTGTAAGTACAGCTCCTTTCTTATACCTGGATTCGTGCTGGGATCCGTTCCGCTCTGTTTCACCTGTTCTGGAAAACGTGTATTTATCCAGGTAGTTGTGTGCAATATCTGAACTGTTTACGAGAGACTAAGCCGCGTACCTATTCAGCTCTACGTTACTTTGGTCTATCTTCAATGCGCTGAAACTTCGAAGCTACTATGGGCCGAGCCGCTGCGCGGGGCATGCATGCAAGCAACGCCGCGTCAGGCGAGCTAGCCCCCCTCCCCACCGCCACTTCGAAGGTAGTGGCTTCGTTTCTGAATGTCAAGTGTTCAAACTTGACACCCGTTCGGCGCCTGTGGTCTGGCTCATCCTCTATCACGTTAATCATTGGGCCTAGTTCGCGTGGTGGTCCGACATTTCGGGATCTGTATTACGCAATTAAATCTGCTATCGTCGGTGCCCACTCCGTCAGCATAATATGACCCCCCACACGCATCAGACATCAGGTCATCCGGCGTACTGATGATCATAACCGGGTCGGAGAACATTTGTGTTTGTGTACGGGGGTTTGATCACCTCAAGTCCAACTCTTCAATTGTGAAGACCGAGATCACAAAGCTAGGGGTGGCTCTCGGGTTTGCGAGCGTCACGAAGGGTTTAACGCTCCCATGCATATGTGGCACGTCTGGCTTCTTCATCCTCGAAGTTCAGGGGCGGAAATTATGATCAGAGTGAAGAGAAATGATTGAACGGCAACGAGAGTGGCCGAAAGAAGCAAACGACCATGTAAAGCGTGTGAACATAAGCGATTTGTGTACATCTGCCTCTCTTCCGAGATTCCCGCCTAACGATAATATTTATGTAGTTCTTGTGCATGGGTCACGATGGTCTGCTTATTTTATTAATCGCAACGGCCTAGAGGGGGGGGGGAACCAACCCCTGATGTATGATCCAGTAAGCTGGGAGGCACGGCAGATGACGAGGCAAGTTGAAGTGAAAGGAGGGAAGATTGATTTTTTTGATTTACCTGTTATATTGGATAATGAAGGCACGGCGAACAGCCTTGGAACGCAGCAGCGTCCGAATTTTGGTGGCCATCGACGCGGAAAGAAAGCGTTTGATGCCGCGTGGGCGATGGGGTCATGTAAGCGGGGGCGATCAATCCGGATTATTTCACATGAGCTTAGCTAGAGGAGGGGAAGGTCCATCAACTCTGTGTAGGATATACATAAGGCCTGCAGAGATGAATGCAGGAGCTGATGACCTGCTTACGGAGAAACATTGGCGGCAGGGCTAATGAGTTTAGGCGGTACCCTTCGTGTCGGCTGATGGTGTGATGACCTTTCACCTTGTAAGATCGATTATTCATTAATTAACCAGAGGACGGTGACCTATCTAGGTCAGCCAAAAAGAAAGCCGGTCACGCCAAATGAAATCCGCGGTGATTACTACACGTCCGGCGGGGGATTCATGGAAAGATCATGAAGAGCTTATGTAATGCAGAATCGACGTTATGTATCATCCAACAAGCTTGTTGTATTCTGATCAGCCTGACCGGTGGAGTCGGTGTCACCCCACAGCCGAGGGGTCAAGGAGAGCTGATCTTCGGTGGTCTCGTAAGCCGAAGTGTTCGGACATCTATATGAAGCTTCGCGGAGGGTATGATATGGGGAATCCATGATTTGCGCATGCAGAAGACGATCTTCCTTTGCTGATCACGGGCGAAGTGCCCTTACCCAACAGGAATGGATGCCACGGTTTGAATGCAAGGTTCTTCCGACCGTTCAAACTTAGCGGTTCCATTCGGAAGCGAGCCCACGCCATAAGGCCTCACGAGATGCGAAAATAGATGGGAAACTGACACAAGCGTCCGATGGAGCATAGCGGCAAAGGCGGTTTGTGTAAAAAGTCGTATGTAGTCAGGGCAAGGCACAAACCGAAACCTCTTGAGCTGAAATAAGTAAGTCCATTTTCAGTCAACTGAATTGGTAAGGTATATTGATAAATTCGGTCAAGTATTACATAACCAATTTAGATAGAGCGATCTCGTGATGGCGGAACGATCTGCTGCTGAATTCAAAACAGAGACAATAGAGACATTAATATTATATCGGCCCCTCGTGTGAATTGGACTCATGATGCTGCCCGTGCAGGTTAAAAGGAAGCTAGACGGTCAACTGGCAACGCCTCTGGACATCTTGTAGCACTCATCTCTCCCACCTCACGCCAGCTGGTTCTTACGAAAACTTTCTTCACACCCGAGTTGTGAGATCGCCGAGAGTCGCAGAATAATAGTACCATTGTGTTCCTAACATACAAGAGTCTGGGAATCATCCTCGCCCGTGTCCTCTCTTACAATACTTGCTCTGATCTGCCTTCAACTCACCACCGACGTCGCGCCTTGAGCACTTTTTTGTGCCCGTTGTTAAACACTTGCAAAACACACAAGTTCACGCCTGTGACTGTGATACAATTTTCATGCAGAAAGGGAACATAGTAGGAATTGCCCTCGGCTCGGCACTTATCACTGCCCTCCGACCATCTGGGCTCCTCGCGCTCATCCTCACCATCCTACACTCTCCTCTATACATCCTCCTATCTACCCTCTTCGGAATCGTGCGTCTTCTGCACTTTGCTTATCCCACGCACCTACTCACTAACATTATTTCTTGGTCCTGTTTTGTCTGTAGATCGCTTTTCACGTCATCGAGTATCTGAACGATCCATACGGCTATAACACTTCAAGTCCAACTCCCATTCCTGGACCATGGATCGCAAAATTAAGCGACATCTGGCTTTCTCGCAAAGCTGCACTGGGAGATCGTTCGGGCCGAATCCACAAGTTACACCAGAAGTACGGTGCGTTTTTTTCTTTTTCAAATTTCCGTCAACACAGGTTATGCATTTTACTGATGATTTGCGTGCAACTTTTTTTTCTTCCTCTATTTCACACGACCGACCGCGTCTCGTGAAAATGCAAACGCAATACACCCTTTTCCACATATCGTACCAACATTTTCATCTCGCCCTTCCTTTCATTTCCCGGACATTAACAACTTTTCCCATACTCCGTCGCATTCGTTGTTTGGGCGATTCACGGACTCGTGGATTCCTACACGTTCGACCTCTTGCCATTCTACTTGCTGTTGCCTCCGCCTGCGACGCGGATTTGGTTCCCCTTCGATTTTGAACCTAACGACCATCTCTGGTCCAATCGCCATTTTGGGGATTCAAACCGCTTTGGACAACCCAATCCTCCCATCCAAAACCTTTTGCTTCGCGCGTTGGACGGAAATGAAATATTCGTGTAATGGTTATCGATGTACCCCACACCCCACGCCCCACGCCCCGCCCTCTGTCCCCAATGATCACGCATTGAATTGCCGCGGGGGGTTGGGCCCTTTCATTATGTCTTCATGTCTCTATGCGTCCCCGGGGTTTTTCCAAATTCATATAGGCAAAGTGGTTCGTATTGCTCCGAACCACATATCCATTGCGGACCCGGAGGCACTTCAGATCGTTTATGCGGTGAGTAGATGATGCTCTGTATTTCCCCCCCTCTTTCGCACTTTCTCGCTACGCCATTACTAGTCATCAGTTTTGGCGGTGGTAGTTGGAGAATGAGTACTGATTTTTTCCTTTCCTTTCTTTCTTTTTCACAACTGTTAGCATGGTAATGGAAGGTTAGTATTTTTTTTTTCGGTTTTCAAGATGATGCACTGCTAATCCCCTGTTTTTCAATATAGTTTGAAATCCGACTTTTACGATGCATTCGTTTCATTGCACCGAGTACGTGTTTCTCTCCACTCTCCCTCGATTTTTTTCGATAGTTCGACCTCATTGCTGATGAATTTGCATCATTTATAGGGACTTTTCAACACGCGTGATCGTGCGGAGCACGTACGTGATCCTTTTCTATCCTTCCCATCCATTTTTATTCGTAACTCTAACAATCTCCCTCTACCTGAACAGACTCGCAAACGCAAAATAGTCTCAAGTATCTTCTCGCAGAAGAACGTCCTCGAATTCGAACCCTACATTCAAAACTTGATTGCGCTGATGATGGTGAAGTGGGATTCGATGACGGGCGAAGCGGAGGCGTGCAAGGATCATGAGCAGGTTAAGCAGGAGTTCGATTTGAACCAGGGTGGGATCGGCAATGGGAAGAGTGGTGAGGGGAAGAAGGTTGTGCCCCTTAAAGAAGGAACGTATGCCGAAGGTGGACGAGTTTGGTTTGATGCTCTCAAATGTGAGCCTTCCCCTCTTCTCACGAGCATGAGGATTGTGAATTGGTCATTTGCTGATGAAATTTATGGCGCAATATATAGGGTTCAACTACCTCGCATTCGATATCATTGGCGATCTCGCTTTCGGTTCGCCCTTTGGAATGCTTCAAGCCGAGAAGGACGAAGCGGCTGTGTTGATGCCTGGTGATACGCCCGACAAGACGGTTTACCTACCTGCGATCCAGATTTTGAACGATAGGGGGAATTATAGTGCTAGTTTGGGGGTTATCCCTCCAGTCTTCAGGTGAGTGGGAGGGCGTGTTAAGAAGTAGTTCGAATTGGTTCATTGATTGGCTTTTTTGGGGGGGGCGTAGGCCGATTGTGAAGCAATTCCCGTGGTTCAAGCGCGGAACTCAAGCGGTGAAGAGTCTTGCTGGTGTGAGTTTACTCCCCCCATGGACTCTATAACTCGAACTCATTTCCAAAATTTCGTCAGATTGCTGTGGCAGCCGTAGGGAAACGTCTTTCGGAACCAAGTGACAGGAACGATCTTCTTTCCAAGCTCCAGAAGGGGAAAGATGTTAATGGGAATCCTATGGGCCGCGCGGAGCTTACGGCTGAAGCTCAGACTCAGCTCATTGCGGGGAGCGATACCACCTCTAAGTATGTCTTTTCGACTTCATCGCTCGGAAGCTCCTTCTCACTTTCACCGATAATAATTCAGTTCATCATGCGCTATAACGTACTTCCTTGCCACTCATCCTGAGGCTCAGAAGAAGTTGCAGGCGGAATTGGATGAAGCGCTCGGACACCCTATTTGTCCTAATGTGGGTCTGGAGGCAACGGTCTCTGAGCTCAAGTCGGACGTTGCGCCGTACGATGCTATCAAGGCGCTGCCTTACTTGCAGGCATGTATCCAAGAAGGGCTAAGAATGCACTCGACAAGGTATGTGGTTTTATTTTTTTTCGGTCTCTCGTGGCGGAGTGGATGATGCGACTGATTGGCATTATTATTGTTATTATTGTTGCATGGCAGTGGGATCGGATTGCCGAGGATCGTTCCGGCTGGTGGGTTAACGGTTATGGGGAGGTTTTACAAGGAGGGTAGTATCCTTAGTGTTCCGAGTTACTCGATTCATCGTGATAGGGATGTTTGGGGCGAGGATGTTGATGAGTATAGGTGAGTTTTGTGAATCAGCTCTCAGGTATTGTTCTGGCTTATCGATATATATTCCACTTTACAGACCCGAGAGGTGGTTCGAAGGAGATGAGGAGAAGATGCAGAAAACATTCAACCCGTTCTCGTGGGGACCACGGTATGTTCTGTTCTTTCTTTCACCGGTGTATGGGGCTTCAGCTGATGTGACCAACAGGGCGTGTGTCGGCAAGAATCTAGCGATGATGGAACTTTTGATGATCATTGCCTCGGTGTTCCGGAGATATGAGTTTGTCCCAGTTGAGGAGGACCAGAAGGTGAGTCATAGTCGCGCTTCTCGTACACGCCATGGAACAATGGGAAATCTGATGACATGCGTGTACTTTTGCGTAGATGGAAACCCTTGAGGGTTTTTTAAGGAAACCTCTTGAATGCGTGCTTGGAGTGAAGAGACGCGATATTTGAATCTATTTCATTGTGCAACTGCCATATCTACGGGTTGATCTGATATGGTGATGGTTACTGTATTTTAGCTGGCTGCTTGGCGAATCCACCTGCATGTGGAGGGCCGTATTTGTACCATTAATGCAATTCTTTTCTCTTCTAATTGAGCAAGTCGTTCACTTGGCCTATGCACGCGTTATCGTTCCCCGCTGTCCATCTTTCAACCCTGATTCTAAGTGCATGTTATGTTGTCGGACAGTGGTCTAGATAAGATGAAACGAATGTCTAGTACCACCATTCTGTTGGACCACTGTGGGAAGTAAAGCCCCGTAAAAAACCATTTTTTGTCTAGTTTTTCACCATTTTCGTGGTATTTTTATCATGGTAAATTACAATGTACGTTAAATACAAGACCCAATCCGTAAATTACCACTCAATTCATGGTATTCGAGCTGCGACATATTATACAGAGTTCAGGTGTGCGGATGATGGGAAGTGGCAATGTTCGAGTAGTCATCATTGTCAACGCTAAAAATTGGCCTCGCGAGTTCGCAACTGCGATCAATGCGGCCCAACTAGGGGTGCCACGGTTCGGTTCGGTTCTGGGGCCATTTTTTGAGAACCAGAACCAGAACCGGTTCACATTTTGACAATAGTGTCGAACCAGAACCGAACCAGTATCTGAACCAAACCGAACCGCATTCCGGTTCGGTCCCGGTTCAGTTCGGTTCAGAACGGTTCAAACAGGCCTGTACCACCAACCAAGTAATGCGATTTTTGGTCCATATCGAACTCGCTTTCAGGCCCCCATAGATTCATCTAAAATTTGCCAGATTTGCGCCACTGGTGTCCAAGACTCCAAATATGTGTAGCCAATTTTCCTTTTCAATTTTTTTCAGCCATCCCCAAACGCATCCAACACAAAGACTTTAATTTCTGAAGCCATGAACAAAATACTTGATGAATGTATGCGCAATATCTGTTTATTCAACATCATGGCTGAGGCTACAATCCTTCGATGGTTCTGTGGTTCAGTTCAGTTTGAACCGGTTTGCGATACCCTCCCAACTTAAAGAACCAGAACTGAACCGGATTGGAATCAGATCAGAACCAAACCATGGTTTGGTTCCAGTATGGTTTGGTTCACAATTCGGTCCCGGTTTGTATAGAAAACCATAGGATGAGGCCGCAATAGGGCCGGGGTCGGACCAGATGAGAGTAGACCACTAAATAGAATTGTCGGCACAAATATATGTAAATACATGTTTTGAGGTTGAGCTCTAACAGTTCGAACCGGTTCTCTGAGAACTGCAGCACCCCTAGGCCCAACAATGAGAATTTGTGTGTAAGGTCGGTTGGGGTTCTGACCTGGGTGACTCCTCAGTCCTCTGGCTGTCGAGATCTAGGCTGTATTGAGCTTATGATTCGACAAGCAGGTGAGGGTAAAGAGTGAAGAACCCTTTACCTGAGCCCAAGCCATACATATGTAAATACAGTTGTTTTACATTGTATACAACAAGAATAAAGAGGAATAAACAAAGAATAAAGCACCACACATCCATTCCCTACATCATGCCACAAAGAAAGAGGCCACAGACTGATGAGACTTGTCAGAGACCAGGTTGAGATGAGGGAGTGTCTCCATGATGGAGGGCTTCGGCCTCAGCGACTTGTGCCAGGAGCGCTGTGCCAAGTAACATGTCCATGCCCTAACTTACTAAACTGGCAACCAGAACTGAAGGGGGGTAAACTCTAGTTGATTTTATTACTGAGGTGTAACCTATGTACAAGTTGAGTATATATATGGTTACAACGAGAGCAGGCCTGCAAATGGCGGAGCTGAGTGGAGTGGAGCTAACAGGGTTAGACATTAGCTGATTGAATATTAACGACGAGTCAGGTTATGGGGTTAACGGAATGGCAGGCGATAACCCAGAAACGGAAAGGTGGGATAGGCCCAAAGGTGGGCTTGCAGGGCAAGCAAGTGTATTGCCCAGTGGAGGCAGGAGTGCACTAGCAGATGTCGGAGCTGTCTGGAAGCCTTCGGGGCTCCGTACTTAGGGAGGCATAGGTAATAAATTGAAAGGAGGGGGTGGTGTCAGGGCACACACCCTGACTAGCCCGGACCCGGACCCGCGTCCGGACCCGCTTCCACCTGCTGCACTTCCTGCATGTGTGCACGCTCCGCGCGCCACATGCTCCGGGCCTGGTTCCTACTCCTTCATGTGACTTCCGGGTATCCCCGGAAGTTTTCCTGATATGGTGGCCACTGTGGGAAGATGAGAAGTTAGCTTCCTTCTCATCTTCTTACCCACAGTAGGCAAGTTGTATCTTACTTGCCTTTATCTATTACATCTTCTTACCCACAGCAGGTTGTGCCCTGGATAGGGCTGGTTACACCTCAGGGCTGTGGACCATAGGGGAGGGTCATGGGGACCCGGGAGTCGTCCCCTGACAGGTGGTGACCATCGAGAGGTACCGAGGTGATTATGGAATACAGGAGCTCCAAGGTTAGTGAAGAAGGAGCGGAGGTAGACCGGAGGGATCGGAGGGAGTGGAAGTCGATGGCCGGGGATGGATATGACAAGACTGATGTGAGTGTGATAATTTGAGTGGTGTTGGAGAGCTTGGTGAAAGAGGTTGGTGTCTGCTTTGGATAACTGATATCTAGGCCTATAGAGGGTGGTTCTCAGCATGTTCAAAGTGGAGGATGTTGCCCTTGATTCAAATTGAAGTCACATGTCTGTTGCTATCCACTTCTGTAGCTGTGTGCATCCTAGAAATTGCAGAATCTGAGTTGGAGTAATAATACGAAATAAAGAGGAATTTTAGTGCAAAAAACCCAATGGAAAATGGTTGAGAACTGATGGAGAAAGAGAAATGTGTGATTCTCAGTTCACTCAACACTGCACAGGAGTGGCATGCATGGGAAATGACATGCAAGGTCAAAGCTCAGTGCCTCTCAGCATGTCAAGACATTGTCCCTTGGATAGGTCTGATCGCTATCCAGGCAACACTGTTGGGCAGAGCTCAGTGTTCCAGGTCATCTGACGGTGGGTTGGAGACAGACCGGAGGTGGGGTGGAGCTCCGAGGGTGATGGGGTGTTGAAGGGACTCGGCTTCAGCGACTCGGAATGGAGCACTGCACCTGGTACGTTCTCATTGTCCCCAATTTGTTGGGGGAGCTGGTGATGGAGGAACCAAGGCTGCCAGCAGAAGGGGGCCAGAAGCCCCCCCCTCACTACTTAACGATGGAGGCGTTTAGTGAGGGTCAATTGTTTGTCACATGATTCATGTGGGTTTTATACCAAGGCGTCTCTAGATGCGCCTGTTACTCAGTTCTTAACGGAATAACCGCTTGCTCTAGTAGATAGCTCAGTCTCAAGCAATATGCGCGAGAACTATTATATTACCTAGTAGTAAAGCTATAAGGTAATATACAATGAGTTATAAGATATAAGAAAGAAAGAAAGATAACTAACCTCAGTCTCACTATATGCGCGAGAACTGAGGAAAAGGGAAACTAATTCAAAAGATTGAATATAGTTTGTGGACTTTGCGGATAAGTCCGAAGTGACCAAAATAAGTAAGAAGAAAAGGTGTTGTGACCAAGTAGTCACGCTACCGCGGGAATGTGGCTGTCCGGGCGAGTTCCTCGCTCGGGTGTGGGAATGTGGCTGTATGAAAACTCGTCCGGCCTCCCATAGCACACGGTTCCTCCAACAGTTCTTAGTTCTAGGGTGGAGCAGCAGACGAGTGGGATGCGATAGATGTCCTGGAGGAGGGTTTGGAGGGTCTCAAGACTGTTTTTATCATAACTGGGGGGAGCTATTTACTAGAGGGTATGCACATACATATAGCGGAAACAATTGGATCTGAATGTAAACAAAGGTTACCAAGGGGAAGGGGAAGTAAATAGGAAAAGGCTCCACAGGACAAATAGGAATAGGTGAAAAGCCTGAATTATGTCTGAGGTTTGTGGAGTGAGAGAATTAAAGGCCAACTGAACAGCAAGGTCTGGAACCATCTAAGAATAAGCAGGGGACTACAGAGAAAGACATCTGGAAAGGTCCAGAGCCTGGAAGTTGTAGTCTGGAAGATTGGGGTTGTAGGAAATATCAAATGGTAAAACAATAAAGATTATTGAGCCCGGAGGTAAGGTAGGAATAGGAAGGTACTGGAGGTAAGGAGTTACCGGAAGTGAGGAGGTACCGGAGGCGAGGAGGTACTGGAGGTACTGGAGGTGTGGAGACCGGAAGTAGGAAGGAGGGTGGATAGGCAAGTTGAGGTTTATCCACAACAAGCAGGTCCATCTCCTTTGAACAAGGGGTCTGAGGAGGTGGAGGTATGGTAGTGGAGGTCCGGAGGTGATGTGGACGTAGATGGGAGGCAGAGCAGGAGAGAGTTGAAGGAGGAGGTAGTCCTAGGGCCGTTGGCATCGACTGGAGGCAGCAGAGAGAGAGAATGGAAAGGCTGGGGGGGGGGGGTCGTTGGAGTCGTAAAGGGATAGGGCAGAGGGAGGCAGAAGATCTGGGATATGACACAGCACACCAGACTGTAAGTGTTACAATGGTGTTAAGCGGTAACTGGAAGTTGCTGCTTAGCCACGTGACTCTAAGCACACCATTGTTACATCAGACTCAGGGTTCAGGGCTATTGCCCTGACATTCTCCCTCTTTGCATTGCATATGGCAATGCATACATGGTTTTAAGAGGAAGGAAATGAATTCAAGGTAAGAATATTTTTCCAAAGAAAGTTTGTTATTGCCACTTTAAAGTGGGCGATGTGTACATCTAGGAAGAGGATGGGAAATAAGAAGAGAAAAAAAAATGAAGGGGTGTGGGGCCATTACTTTAAAGTAAATGGCTGTCAGGGGACGGACCCTGGGTCCCCATGACCCCTCTCTATGGCCCACAGTCTAACCTGTAAACACAGTCCATCTCAGGGCATAACTACTGTGGGTAAGAAAGTGATATAAAAGAAGGGGCAAGTGTCACAACTGACAAATCCTGGGGCTCCATGTGAGGCCCCAGCTCATGTCTATATTCTGCCCACGACATCAATTGATGTTGTGTTGTCTGATAACTA